ATTTGAAGACTTTGCTTCAGTGAGCTCTACAATGGAGGAGTTCTTCCAGATCAAAGCCTAGACAAAGACCAAGCAAACTAGAGAACTTCAGAAGAAAGAAGGGGAGCTGCAGGTTTGGAGGAAGTCTGATTATGGAGCAGTGTGGTGAAATGAATTGTGATGGTGGTTTAATCGTGGAATCTGGTAAAGGGAGGATATAAGTAGCCGCTTGTGATGAAACGGAAGTTTTGCTAGGTGGCATGCGGTTGCGGTTCAGGAAAATGATGTGGAAGTCGTTAAATCTCTTGCAATTCAAAATGGTCTTCAAAAGCTGCTAAAGAAGGTAGTAGTAAGCTCAATATTGAAACAGACGTCGAGCAAAGTTTTAGAAGTTTGTAGTTCAAAATATTCCATGCAACTCGAAAATCGAATTGATAGTCCAGGACATCACGGACAAGAAGCTTTGAAAACGTTCAATGAATGGTGTTCGGAGATCGGCTAATCAGCCCGCCAATTGGATGGCAACTCATGCAAGAGACAGAACTCTTACGGAAGATTTGATGACTAATATTCCTTCTGCTTTACAGATTTCACTTGATGCTGATTGTAAAGAGAAACCTCTGTGAAGTTTGTTTTGGCCAAAAAACAGTTATAAAAGAACCAAATTCGTCATTATTCTCTAGCTACGTCATTAACCGTACCTGCCATAGAACAACACGTCCACCTCATCATTATTGTCAAACCTCTGTGAAGTTTGTTTTGGCCAAAAAAAAGTTATAAAAGAGCCAAATTCCTCATTATTCTCTAGCTACATCATTAACCGTACCAGACCACAGTTTATCCACATAGATACTTCTGAATACCACCCAATGAAACGAGAATTCCACTCCAAATTAGATAAGAACCTTTACCAACTCAAGCTATATAACTCAAGTCTTGCAAATTCCAATGATGGAGTGATGGAGTGATGGAGTTCATCTTCGCCAGCCATCACGCAAGGACCGCCGCCACAACAGCCTATCACTCCTAACCACCGTGCGCAATCATCGTCGTTTCTGACCAACGCTGATCGTCATTGCCGTCCAGCCGATTGTCCTCCAATGACTGTCGAACTGAATTGGTTGTCGTTGATGAATAACTCGAAATCGATGGATCGATCCGAAAAGTTGTCTTTGAAAAAGAAGAAGAAAAAAACCAAAAGGCACGAAATTTTGGGCATTTGTACGTTGTTCCTAAACGGTGGTCACTTGATTTTGCCGTGATGCTTCGACATCCGATCCCATCCTCTACTCAGATCTGAATCTCAGTGCTAACAATCGCAAGATTTCAAAGGAGGAGGAGGAGGAGCTCCGGCGAAAATGGTGATCGCTCAAAATGGTGCTAGTCTCGGCCGTGCGAGATTACGTCAAGAGGATGTTGCCCTAGATTTGGAAAGTATCACCTCTTTGAGCAATTGAGATTGTCAAAAAATTTGAATCCTATCTTGGATTGCACCAAACATGGGAAATGATTTTATGATTGCAAATGAAATGTCCACAATGGTGTCTCCTTTCCAGTTTTCTGAACGTAAAATTGCTTGACTAGCTAGTTTTGTATATCCTCGTCTAGAATCCAGATGCTTGTTTTACTGAACATGACCCGGTATGAAACAGTGAAAACCCAGAAGAACATCCTATCTTCCCTGATGGCTTACCAACCTCACTTGTGCCGGCTTTCAACTATCCAAAGGCAATTCTCTTTTCCAGCTCTTTGGTTTGCCCTCTCCATCAGACAGCTCAGGATGAATGCATTGCATCCCTACTGTCTTTAGATTTGTTGGACTGATCCCAATTACAGAGTTGGCATCCTGCAGCTGCTTCGATTAATGTAAACAGTACTATATGGCAAGTGTGTTTTGATCAACTGCTTCCACTGATTAATGTCCCTAGTGATGATGGCAACTATGCCTCTAGGGCTGGCAGTGATCTTGCATTATTGCTGGTAAGAGTGCCGATGAAATTATCACTAGTGATTAAAGTACTGAACATATTGTATGTAGTCTTAATAAAGGAGACCTTTTTCTGTTTTTGACGAGAAACATAAGTTCTTGAAAGGCTGGAGATTTTAAGCTCTCTTTAGGAGTGTCCAGGGTTCTTGTTAGAGTAATGAAAAGGATTCAGCGGGGCATTTACGGTCTCCATCCCTCCATAAGTATTTCAATATACAACATTTTAATATACCCAATTGGAAGTGGTTAAAAGTATTGACCAACACGATACTAAATTACATGATGTTGATTAAACTATTTTTCGTAAGGCAAGGTGTTTCAATTAATTGGTGAAGTAACAATGCAATATCTTGAAAGGCGTAATCATCTTATGTGCACTTACTTTGTAGTTTGTAGATAGTGACTAAATGACTGGAATGTGAAAAGGTCGATCTTTGATTGATCCAACTACGCGAAAACAAGATGCTACTGCTCGTGCCAAAGAACATGATCACAGACGAAGTTGATCCACCCTAATGATATTTGGACTTCAGTACTGCTGGGATTATGTGGACTGATGTTGACTACTGCCTTGCAGGCCCTCTCTAGAAGGATCGATTATGGAAAATTCGTGGCTGAGGTTAAATTTAAGCATGCTCCTCAAGAGTATGAGTCTGCAATTCGTTCCCAGGTATGTCGATCTTTTATGTTTAGTCGTTGAGTAAAATTCTACTGTCTTTTCTGGGACGAAATACGTCGCAAAGAAAGAAAACTACTGGGTGCCAATACTGTGACCGAATACCTAGTTTTTGCCAAGTTCGGTAATGTTTGAAGGGAACCAAACAATACGCAATTGGCCAACTTTGGCATAGTGTGATTTTCAGCTTTAAACAAGCAGTGAATAGCCATGGAATTACAGAGTCAACAGCTTTTGGATTTACTCTAAACTCCTCGTCCCCTCCTGAACTTACATTCTCTAAGCCAACGACTCAATGGATGTGGTCTTGCTCATTCCACGATAGAGATGCTCTGATGAAGTTGCTGACCTTTGAGGGCGTAGGGAGAAGGTGAAGAAGAGGGTCGGCAAGAAGACAATGTTGTTTGGGCAGGAGGTGAGCCTCGATGGCAATTACGAAGAAGGCATTTATTCGGATCATGATTAGAGATCATGTTTGTTAAGGCAGGGTTTACGTTTCAGCATCTGTTAATGAATAAAAATCGGGATCTTTTTTATCATGCATATATACAATCGAAATTAGGGATGATCGGTTCCCGATCCAGTCTGGTCCTACCTAGGAAAAGGGAACCTGACCGGGAGGACGGGTTCCCAATTTCTAGGAACCGGGGACCAGACCCGACTGGTCGGATCCAACAGAATTGGTAACTATAATGTTCTCTTTCCAAACAAAAACACAACAAGAAGTAGAGAAATCTAAATTGGAGAAGCTCTGCTAGGCAAAAAGAAAACACCAACAATTGCCAAGCTTAACACCGTAGATGACACGGTTGTTGACACCTCGGTTTTGCCCAAAAAAAAAAGAACCGGGCCGGGGCCGGCCGAACCAGGCCCCTCTTCCTCTCTTCTCTTTTCCTTTTGCCCAAAAAAACAAAAGCTTAGCCAGACTCCCCTTGCCGTCGTTGATTGAAGTTCCATTTCTGGTCAGGTAAATCTCTATCCTAGGCTCTGTTTTGTCCCGATTTACTGAGCCAGAGACCATCGGACTAGATCGATGGAAATCTTAGACCAAACTTGTGAAAATGAGATGTCAAATACTGTTGATTCTAGGATATGAATGACATTGAATCTGAATCTGAAGCTAATATTTTGAGTTGCATATTAACTGCTCGACAAAATGTCTGAATGAAGCACCGGAATCCTTTTTTTAGGAAATCGATGTTCAGAGTTTTGTTTAACGATTGATTGTTTTGACATTGCTGAACTGCGTCTGATCCTCGCGTTTCATCTGTGTTTTTCCTGCGATTTTGTGGCACATCATTTTTCCGAGTCGGCCATGGACGAACGTTCCCTCGCCGGACAATCAATCCCCCTTACCGGCGGTTAGACGCCGCTCCAGTAAAGTCCATTTCTCGCTCTTTGAAGTGTATATGCGTGTTCTACGTGTTAGAATTTGATAGAATGTCAGGACATATGATTTCGGAGTTCGGAAATCCCTCGCCGGAGTTAGCCCGGCAGCATAGAAACCGTCGGCCAGTTAGTGACCGGCGGTGATTTGGCGTCGGTCAGAATAGCGAGTTGACTGGAAGTGGTGGCCGATGGTCGGAGAAGGTCTGCTCCGGTGAAGCTCGAAGTTGGAATCCTGGTGGTGAGAAAACCATGAAGGCAATGAGTGTGAGGAAGAAGACCGGAAAAGAATAAAAGAAATAGAAAAGAAAATGAAAGAAAAAGGAAAAACATAAAGTATAAAAATGAGGTATAATAATGATGGGTTGTGGGCTGGAGGTATTGTGAAGCATGGGCTGAGCGTGTGGGCTGAGTAACGATCGGGTTTAGAGTGATTAGAAGAAGAAGAAGGGAAATTAGCAACTTGGGCCTGAATTGGTGTAATAGCCCAAGTCCGTCAGACTAGGACCCTATTTGGACCGGGTCCTAGAAGCCGGTCCGAATTTCAGACCTAACCCGTCCTAAGAATCTCTGGTTGCGCATAGGCGACGCTCCCGCGTCTCGATTAGGGTTCTTAGCCGACCCTTAACAACGGCTAGTGGTGACTCCTAGTGAATACATGGATTAGAAAAACCAATGTCGCGAGAGGCATGAAGCTTGGGAGCGGCCTCCGTCCTTGGATAGATGAACCTGAACAAACCAATTAATTTCCTTATTCCATGCCATGCATTATTGCGTTCAGTGGCTCGTTTTTCGCACTAACATAGAAGCTATAAACTCAATCACGGCTAATATGTTTTCACCTAGTTGATTGTAGAACGTGCATATACATCGTCAAGAGGGAGTATTCCTTAACATGTGACGAGGTGACATTCTAAATCAAAAGACAAAGGGGGTAGCAGCTTAGCGTAGACCCAAGGTATCGCCAACAACCTGCTGGTCAGCATCTCACGGACAGGCCCCCCCTTACAAAAGCCAAAACAGTCTCTAGTTGTCACCTGGTTACGCCATAACCACATCGCAACTAAGTTTGTTTTCTTGCGTTACTTAATCGTTGAAGTCCCACTCGAGCTTCCTAACGTTTTTGTTTGCATCTTTCGGATTGATTGACGTAGTCATCCATTCATTGGAAAACTTGTGTCGGCTCGCTCGACGTTTCAACGCCCTTAGACTCAGTCCCATCTACTCGGTCGAATTTGAAATGCGACTCTTTCACGCATGAGACGGAAGCTCGGATGACTCGTCTCTGCGCGTCGAACGGCACTGATCAGGAGCAGACTAGGGCCTGCCTTGTTAGTTTATACCCAATCTTAAGGACTATAGTGATTCAGAGATATTATCCAAATAGCAAGAGAAGTAGAGTATACGAAACCAGCCTCTGCTCAATCAGAAGTTGAGGGTAATCGGTCTAGACTTCTGAGAAATAGATTCCTTACCAGTAATGCCTTTACTCGCCATCAAGAACAGATGGATGGAGCACATGCTCAGATTCCTCCGCTTCTTCTTTGTAGGGAGAGAGTTGAATTGTCATGTTCTTTGTTCATTTGATCAGGACGACACATTCCTGCATGCACGACCCAGTCGTGCGGTCCACCTAGTCATTGTACTCAAGAAAACAGCCGTTCGTTAACGGAGAAAATAGTTTCCGATGATCAGGGTTGCTGGATTAATCTAAACTGCTACTTGTCCCAACCCAATTGTTCTTCTAGTGCTAGGGCGGCCAGTAATCATTCTTGATCTGAGTAATGGTAAGCACAAGTACCACCTCCGTTAGACCAAAAACGGCACACCATAAGCAGGCGCAGGAAAGGTAGAAGGAACAAAATATCTGGCGGCAGCCCCTTACTAATGACACTAATGTTATAGGAGAACAGACGCTATCGAGCAGAACAACTATACTGGTCAACCACAAGAACAAAAGCGATCTGACCAATCATTCTATGCCTAGAAGTGCACATGCAGATGTTTGTGAACAGATGTGTTAACGAATGACAAAAGTATGCAAACGCGTCTTATAATATTACAAAACGCATGAAACGCGAACCAGTGCGGGCTAAAACTACGATAGAGAACTACCTCTAAACTTATATTCTTTCTTGGCGGATGGCCCCCATGATATATGAAAGGGACGACTAGTAGCTCCTTGGATCGATTTCGGACTTCTGGGAATGACTGCCCTTCGTACAATGGAAAAACCCATTAAGAGAGAAAAGGGCCGGTACACTTACAGCTGAAGAGAGACTTGGTGACTGACATCGTCTTGGTTGGCCCCGGGTGGTCTTTTAAATTAAGCTTTCCTTCTTCCATATCAATAGACAAACTTATCTACTACTTCTGCACTTTCGATTGCAGAACATGGTTAAGCTGTAAACATCAGTTAATTAGATACTTTCAGTACAAATTACGAAGTGATGCACCGTGTTCGCAGACCGTAGGATGGACAAGTAAAAGCACAACTGATTTCTCGTTACAAAAGATGTGGTTTCAGATGGACCAACTTGCAATACTTCAATGTTTTAGGCGAGAGATTTCAAGATGGACAAAATTTAACTTTCGCAAATCAACACATTACCACACATTATATAACCAACCTGAGTGAATTGCGGGCAACTGTATAAAGACAATTGAAAGAACCCTGCTATAACCACAACATGCTCGAGGAGATTAAAAAGAAACGCCAGAGAGAGAGAGAGAGAGAGAGAGAGAGAGAGCTATTACTAATTAAACAGGATAATGTTACACTCTGATCATATTTGTTGCGTCACAGCCAATGGTACAACACACAGAACAGCAGAATACCCTAACAAAGGAAGTTTCCGACAAGGTACACACATCTTTACAATCTCCTATTCAGAACAGAAAGTAGGAGGATCCAAGAACCGATGAATGGTTTTTACCCAGCTTGCGCCCTCTGAGACACTCCAAATCCATGACTTGAGAGTGATCGACAAAAAGGTTAACCTGAAAATATTGCATGCGAAAAACAGACAGTGATCATCGAAGAAATGTGAAAGCGATCCAAAAGCACAGTCTGCATTCCAGTATGTACATACCCTGGGACCATAGCGTTGGATGAACCACTCCGAGGTTCTAGCATTTGATGCTTCAAACATGGTTTTCTCAAGACCTAGACGTCCTACAATCTTCGCGATAATGTCTGATCGGACAGCATCAGCATCGCAGACATCATCAGGATCTATCATTATCATGTCTGCCCCAGCTTCCAAGCATCTCTCTGCCCTTCTGATCAAGAGATCAACATCTTCGATGAATTCTACAGAAGCAGAACCCACAAAAGCAAGCAGATGTGAGATATCTTATTTAAATCCAAATAAAGTGTCACTTCTTCACAAACGATAGCATGATTATAGAAGTACTTTAACAATGATTCCCGTGATGTGTGCATACTATTTAAACCTTCCTTAAAACTCAATAGTCTAAAGGATACAAATTACATCATTAGAAGAATAAAATCTTGCTATCTATTATGGTGCAAAGAAGTGGGGAATAACCAGACACATGGATCTTCCAAAAAAAACAACATATGTAACACGTAATGTTGAAGTTCTAGAGCTCATATTCATACATACTAAGTTTAGGCAATAAGTGAGTTTAAGCCCGTGAAACCCAATCATACATATCAAGCAAGATGCAGCAACTGACCAACCAACTTGCAAAGACAAGCAAACTCACCTGAAGTTCTCCCACAATATTAAAGGTACATCTTTACCATCATAAAGGATTTTCATTACACAAAACCGCTAGGCACCAAAAATGTGAGACATATGGCTTTCAAACCTACTTTTCACAAGTACGATCATCCAGTTAAGATGTTGATTTCATCGAGACATTAGCAAGAATACCAAGACAGGACTTCACATCCTCTCCAAATCATTCCAGTGATCACAGCGGTTGCTCATTTCACAACCATAATCGTTAGTGTGCTTCACCATCTACGTAAGAAAATGTGCATCTATGTATCACTGGTATAAAGTTGCTCATCACACATCATAAATAACCAATATTGCACTGGGTAAACTATGCAAATATAAATAAGTCGCTCCTTACCGGAACTTCGAGGCTCTGGAACTACATATGCCCCAAAGGCTCTATCACCAGCTCTAGGGATGTCAGATTTGTTAAACTTCACTGCAAACAGTGGCTTGGCTCTAAGACCACCACTCTTAACAGTTCGCACGAATCTCAGCAGAGTGTCTTCTGGGATTTCCAGAGTCCCGACATTTAGCTCGACCGTGTCGAACCCCAACTGCTTACACTCCTGATTAGTATCCATGAGCAGCCTACTGCATCAGTACCACACACAAAACCTTCGAAAAAGGAAAAGGAAAGAACCTCTCCTGTGCATCTCACCTGAACATATTCTTTGAAAGCCGACGGACCCTGGCGCAGCAAATGCTCGGCCCAATCCCCGGTGCTTACATACACGTTATGCTCGTGCGCTATATCGGTAATCTCCTTGACAAAAGACTTGGGCATCAGACTGTGCGAGCCCCCGGAGAACTTCAACCCATCGACAAATGGCCCCATCGACTCGAAAATATCCTGCATTGCACGACGCATTACTCACTAACAGTAAAGTAACTCCTCGAGATCGTAGATTAGCTTTAACCAAAGCAAGCATTCTTCGATACAATCGAATATCTTAACGTGCCGCAGCTTCCCCTACGCAGTTAAGAGTATCGCCGAATTCCTTTCTTATTTTGCCGACAACAATCCTCCCTCGCTGAACCGCCGAGAGGCTTTCTCCTCCTTCGACCTCCACAAAAGGAGGAATCCAACTAAAGAAACAGCTTCCAGAACTAATCCGCCGCAGCACGCACCAACCTCCGATCTTGCCTCGACCGAACCATCTCGGAATCCGCGGCGACGGAATCGGACAAGTTCCGGCAGAGGAGCCGCCGCCGCCGGCGCTCGATCGGCGCCGCACGGACCGAACCGACTCGACTCGGATAAGCAGCGAGGGAGGGGAAGGGAAGACAAAGAGAAACCGCGATGCGGGGGGGAGGAAGAACCTGGAGGAGGTTCTGGTTGAGGAAGGAGTAGTGAGGGCCCCTGATCTCCGTGACGCCGTGCCGCCGGGGCTTCTCGGGGCGGTCCTCGTCCTCCGCGAAGCTCTTCCACCGGTAGGCCGACATCCTCCCCCGATCCTCCGGCGAGCGAGCGAGCGAGCGAACGATCCCGCGCGGGCGAGCTTCCAGTTGACAGCAGCTTGCAGCGGCCTTCGATCGGAGGGGGAAGAAGAAGAAGAAGAAGAAGAAGAAGATGGGAGGCGATTCTAGAAAACGCGCCTTCCGTCCGTCGAACGGTCCGTAAAAAATTCGTAAGTGCGGTTTGCCCGCCGCGTGGCGCGCGCGGGGCCCATCCCGTGCATGTCCAGCTCGGAGCGGGCCCCACCGACGCGACCCCCGGTGCGGTGCGGCGTCGTTTCGGTTTTTTACGTATCGCGGCCCGAGCGCATTACACGTGGCACTCCGTGAACTCGGGGGTTTTTTTCTTCTTCTTTTTTTTTTGCGTTTTTATATGATGTTTGCAATTTCTCTCTCGATTTGTATAATTCAATACGTGAATTGATGGATCGATTTCGTTAGGCTAGCTATGTGGCATTAATTGATTGATTTAGTCCAACATGGCAGCGCTATTACCCGACAATTAGCTGCTTTGTCTATAAGACAAGAGCCGGCACACCTATCAGGCGTTGAAAAATGCCATGCAGCCCACGTTTCGTAACGAGCCGGGATCAAGACTCCCCGTGAGATTCATAGTTGCACTAATGATATCCTAATTTGTCCGTCGGTTGGTTCTATCAAAGGCAAATCGAAAAGACACCAAAGCTAGTCCGTTCTCGCTTATTATCTCGACCTTTTAGTCTTTCCATTCGTGAAACAAATTAACAATTAAAAAGTAACTACTTTTCTCCGCCAACTCTCAATTTATTACGTTTCTCGTTTTGAATGTTAGACAGCTCTGTGCACACGACATAGTGCTTGTTCAACTCTAGTATGAAATTAACAAAAACGATATTTAATTATCCAAACGAAATTCATGTCTTACTAACAATAACAAACCGATAGATCGCCATCTAGTTTCGCTATTTTCATAGCATTCTAACTACAGTTTACCGATCATTCTAATTAGATAAAAACTAGATGACATTATTATGAATTCACGAATCAATGGGTTAAATTATAGTTGGTCATCAATTTGCCATGAAAAAAGACCTTCAATAGGCATCTTGATAGGATCCATAGCAAGACCTTTAAAAGGCTTCATCTCGAGCCTCATTCGGATCTCGGGATTTTCGAGATGTAAAGTTTTCAGGGGGTATTCCCTCTTTCTAGGGAAAACAATATGGAAACAAGATGAATTAGGGGTGCGAGGCGTGCGAGTACCGACATATTAAAATAATGAATATATCCGTAGAACTCGCCCCACAGGAACAAGGACAAGCCACATTGGCTGGCTCTCATAGGAGCGCAAATTAAATAGCCAATTTGACAGAACTATAGCTTAAAAAAATAATGATGGGTTACTAGAAAGTCACTAATAAAATCAGGAAATAAATAAATAAAAATAAATTTGCTGACGAAAAAGAGAGAAAAGAAAACTATTTTTGTTTCCTTTTTTTTATTTTCCCTTTCTGCCCCTATATATATTTGCGCACCGTCTCCGACCTCTCCGATACCTCGCCCAGCTTCGACCAAACGCTAAACCCTAAAGTCCGTCTGTTTCTCGCGCGGGCGCTCATGGCCCCGAAACGTCCTCTTCCGTCGGCGGATCCGCCGCCTGATTCCTCCTCTGACGACGACGACGACGAGGTCCCCGCCGCCGCCGGAGCGGCGGTGGAGGAAGAAGGAGGAGGGCGGCGGGAATCTGGAGAGTCGTCGGATTCCGAGGACTCAACCGACGACGAGGAGGACGACGACGACGACGACGAGGAGCAGAAAAAGCCGCCGCCGCCGCCGCCGCCCAAGTCGTCCTCTCCGCCGCCGCCGCCGCAGCAGCAGCAGAAATCTGGAGAAGGGTCTTCGTCGTCCGGGTCCGGGTCCGGGTCCGAGGAGGAGGAATCCGAGGAGGAGTCGGACTCCGGGTCGCAGTCGCGCCGCTACACCGTGAAGCCCATAACCTCGAAGCCCATGGAGAAGAACGAGACCCCGACCCCGCCGCCAGCGAAGAAGCAGAGGCCGGAGCCTTCCCCCTCCTCCTTGAAGCAGCAGCAGCCCTTGGCGAGGCGGAAGGTGGAGACGGACGAGCCGACGCCGAAGGACTCGAAGAAGGGGAGGAAGAAGGAGGTTGTCGAGAATGGGTCCGTGCTGAAATCTGGGGAGGAGTCGAAGAAGCCGATGTTCCAGAGAATATGGGGCGGCAGTGACGAGCTAGCGCTGTTGCAGGGCATGATCGATTTCCGAGAGAAGAAAGGGATGGACCCTACGACCAACGGTAACGCGTTTCATCATTACGTCAGGAAATCACTCGGGCAAGAGTTTACGGATTCTCAGTTGGCGAACAAGATCCGGGTTCTGAAGAAGAAGTACACTAACAATGAAGGGAAGGGGAAGGATGGTGAGGATAGGGCTTTCTCGAAGCCCCATGAGCAGAAAGTTTTCGAATTGTCCAAGAAAATTTGGGGTTCTAATAAGAACGGCATTGCGGGTGGAAGCGGCGAACAGACGCCTATGCCGAAGGCCAATGGTACCGCTAAGAAGAGTAAGACCTCGACTGCTGGCAAGGTCGTCCCTGCGCCCAAGTCGAAGTTGGAGACATCGCCGGAGAGGCCTAAGGAGAATGGTGAACGAATACCATCCGGGCGTAGTGATACAGTAAGCATGCTGTCCTGTGATAAATTGTTGCAAATGTCTGAAATTGGCTTGGATCAGGACTTTTTGAAGAAAGGGTGGGAGATGGTGGATGAGGCGAGGAAGGAGCAGTTGAAGGAAAGATGGAGGAAAGTACAGTTGGCTCAAATGCGAGTGTTGGCGGAGAGGGCCGCATTGATTAGAGATCAAACCAATCTTGTTTTAGAGGCTCATGAGCGGGCTGCTGGAAAGTAGGATGGGACTGCCGCGGTTCTTTTTTATGGATAGTAGTGTGCAAAATATGTGTAGGCGATATATTTTGTTTACTTTGGTTTTGGGTTCATCAAGGTACTCTTTTTCGATCGATTCGTAAGTTCAATGCATGTAAACTTTGGATTTTAGCATGTCCTCTTAAGTTTGATTATATTCTCCAATTGCTTTGGCCTGTTGCTAGTGCCCTGCTATTACTATCTGCTGGTTCTCGGTCACGAGCAAGCTGGTTTGTTGTCATCCTTTCTCTCGACACTGATGTCGTGATCGCTTGTGTTGGTTTCTGAGGCAAGTTATGTTGCTGATGCATTGCTTCGTCTCCTGTAAATCGGGATTGTTTGGTCCGTTTATTATTTTGATTAGCAAACATTTCTATCATATTGTTCTATCGGATCACTCATTGGGCTTGTAAGAAGCATAGAGATTTCTTAACATCCTAGTCCTGCTATTTTGTTGGGCTGAACATCCATAGTCTAAAGCAAGCGTATGAATCAGGGGTATACAACAGATTATACAAATGAGATTAGATTGAACAGGACATGAATTAGGTGAGATCATGCAAAAGCTTGGGTTTTGGTTTTGTCTTGCATCGTTTTCAAATGGTCCTTTGGTGGATAATGGATACTAGGTTGGCTGAAGGTTACTTTGTGCTCGTTGTTCAAAGGTGTAAGTGCATTTGACCAGTGCTAGATTTGTAGTCGATTAGCTTGAGAAAAGCCATGGACATATAGTGCAACAAGGACAAAAAACCTTTGCTAATATCTGTCAGTATGAGTTGGAAGATGTCTTTAATCTCAGAATTTGAAACAAATGCTGGTTGCTGTATTGAGGTTGATGTTGCTTGACCACTGCTTAGATTCGTAGTTGTTTAGCTTGAGGAAAGCCATGGACATATAGTTCAACCAGGACACAAATCCTTGCTAATATATGTTGGTGTGAGTTGGAAGATTTCTTTATCTCTGGATTTGAAACAAATGCTGGTTGCTCTATTGAGGCTGTGGTAGCCTAATGTCTATGGAGAGATTTACCTCTCTTTCAGTGCAAGCCGCACGCATCTCACGATCGTTAGAGAAACGCTCCAACTCTCTTATGATATCATCTTGCGTACAGCTAACCAATGTGTAGCATGAGCTGCGATATTCTGTCTTCCAGGCTCTAAATGTCTTTTGATCTCTCCTAGCTTGAGCGGCTCCCTCGTTAGGGTCATCCATGATTTGGTTCATATCTCTGTCACTGCTTGTTCTTTCAGCACAAATTGCACTTTTTGGTATCAGAAATCAAAGCTATCACCATTCAGTTTTTCACTCTTGTTCAAGTCAGTTATGTCATTCTTTGTTGGAGCTATGATTAGTTACCAAATAAAGAGATATTACGGGACAGTATCATCAGCACGACATACTTTACTTTCTACAGAGTTACTATGTTTAGTCATCATCCTTGACAACATTGTGCATAATTCATAGTTCCACAGAGGAAATCCCACTGAATTTAGCACATCCAATATAGAGCAGCATGCTAAACCATTTATATATTGACAATATAATGCTTGCTTACATAATGTAGAACATGTTACAGCAAAGTAGAAACACGAGGTATTCACAATCACAAAACAAACCAGACAAAGGAAATATTCAGGTGCTATTTCTCAACTAGTATTCTTCACTCGCCTCGAGTACGCTAAAGAATAGTGTCTTTCAGCATTCCTCTATTCTCTCGGAGTTTGATTGAATCGACGTCGAAAACGAGTGTGACCCTCGACCCTTTAGTTTTGAATTCAATTCTTTGAAGATTGCATGGATAAGCAGTGATTGCATCCACCGTACCATCAAAATGGTCGATGCTGAAGTCATCTCACACTTTCTTCAACCAGCTTCTTGGGCATCAAGCAATGTATCCAACGAGATTACTTCTTTGTTAAAAGTAATCTTTGCCTCCATTTTTCTCATGTTCTTTGAAGAGATGCCTCAGAAAGTTTAGAATGCGATAGGACACAATCATTCGGACCAGTTCTACCAATTTCATAGCGAAATATATCCATGCAAAATAGTAGAATACAGAAATAGAGAAATTGCATTAGACTGATATTTGGAGGGGTGCAACATAACGTTTTGGATGACGCTGTCTTTCGTTCATTCAAGTTATCAGTGTATAGACAGCGGTACTGCGGCACATTGCTAGCGGATATACGTCGAGGATGTGGAGTATGTGGAGTATGATCAGCGCCTGCTATTGTGGCGCATTGCTATGGAGATCTGCTATAACATGGACAAACGATCGCATACCAAGGACGACGAAATGACATTCAGCGAGACTTGCCCGATTATATGGCATGCCTCTTGCTTATGCGACTTACTACAATGTTTTCCATGGCCGCAATCAGCAAAATAAGATTGATGGACAAGCATGCCGAGCTTGTCAACTTCATCGGTTGACAGGAGGTCGCGAAGGACTACAGAGCCAACCTGGCTGAACCCTGCCTCAAAATCTTGATGGTGGATATGAAGTTACACCTAAGTTAACGCAATGAAGGCACGAGATAATGCAAATAGTAAAAAATTTGGCTCATGAGATTGCGGGTTTCCGGCTGCTTCACGTTCAACCATGTGAGCTACGTTGACGCCACAATCCCTACAGCTTGAAAAGGCTCACATCGGGATCCTTTCTAATCGTGCGCCTTGCGATAGTCTATGAATCTGTTGCACAAAAAGAGTTGATAGGATTTAAGCTTCAGCATGATGCCGATTTTTGTGTTAATTTTGAATGAATGGGCTTGTTCTCCATGTTGGTATGAAATGCTTCACAAGTAAAAGCTGGTCTCTCTAGTACAACTCTCTCTCTTTCTCTCTCTGAGCATGGAGTACAGGAGTTCTCAAATTCATCTTCGAGAAAACGAAATCGTAGCAATAGTGAAGAAGAAGAAAACAGGGTATTATCCAGATAGTAAAAGAAATCCTTCAAATAGCCTTAGGTAACAAAGTGTCCAGTAAAGGGTGACAAGTACACAAACTTGATTTAGCCAAGCTTGGCAAGAACATCATTAAGGGTAGATACAGTCTCAGCATAGTATTTCTCTGCTTCTGGGGTGCTCTTGATCTTCGCCGCATGGTCCAACTACCCAAAAAGCACACGAAATTAAAATCGCATTAGTCAGATATTTTCATAGGCGAACTGAATGAGCAAGACATGTTTCGAGATATTTTTCTGTCGACTCACATTGCTGATGGTCTGGAAGAGCTTGCCAGTGAGTTCCTTGAGCGACTTCTTCTCCTCCTTGGGTTTCGTGGCAATGACAGTATTGAGGTCGAAGCGGAGGTACTCGGCCCTGAGGCGGAGATCGTTCTGGACGTACGGCCACGCCTTCTTGTCTATGAACGACTTCACGTTAACAATTTCCTTGGCTGACTCCTTTGCCCTGGCTGCTGCCTGTGTCGGGGACAGTGGCTGAATGAAGAATCTGTCCTTCAATGGAAGGTCGAGATCTCTTGGCTGATCAGAGTTCAGGGTTCCAGCTACATAAAGAGAAGGAATTTCACTGCCGTTATTCGTTAAGCCACAACTTTGAATTCTACAGTTCTTCCTTATATTTGCAGTCTATAGTCATCAAGGTTAAAGAGAAAACACAATCTCGCTGAACAATGCAAGAACACGAGCACTAATTCAGTCACTATTCTAATACCGGGTTGATGTGACCATTAGTGAACGTGAATAGAGCTGAGTTGAATCTCAATTTTTTCGAATTTTGGCCTGAACTTAGGGACCTGTCTAAAGCAACAGTTCCATCAAGTAGGAACTCAATGCTTCAAAGCAGTATGCCAAATATGCATATCAGATACATCTCTACATCTAATCGCACATTAAATCGCAACCATAGCATAATCATACAAGTTGGTTCTAGTCTCCAAAATTAACCGGGTATGTGAAGAACACTGCATAGCTTGCTAGCTGTTATTCTGTCTGTCAACACTGGTCACATTCCTTTTCACCAGAGAAGCAATTGTAAGGGAACAATTTTAGTGCAATGCAACATTTTTGGTGTAGTTCTCGAACAAGATTTATCAGCAATGCTCCCATATGAAGACCGAGAGAAGAAGAGAAAAAGGCAGGAGACTTACGCAGTCCACCGGATGGTGGGGGAGGCCCGCCTACCTTGATTGACTTGGCTTCGGCCAACACTGCTTGGACAAAAGAGCCCGAAGCCAAAGCGGTGGCGACCAGACTGAGAACTGCCCTCCGGCTAGTCTCGGCCTCGGCAGAGCCCTGTTGAGCTCTAATGCTGAAGCCAGGCCTGGCCAAGCCAACCCGGTTTCCACCGCCAACGCTCAGGCGGGTCGAGCTGCTAAGCTGGAGGCTGCCTTCCAGCACCGCCTGAGAGGAGCCACGTAAGCCAGCCATTGAAGCGATAGCTTGGGCCATATTCGCCTTCAATAACAATTCTCAAGTGCTGTTGCTAAGCAAGTTTTGATTCAAGGGGGTCAAATGAGGAAATATATTTCTGTGAATCGGATGAAGTTTCTTCAATAGGCCATGAGGTTATGTGGTGTGGAGTGATCTGGGACACCACCTTATCTGCCATTTTCCTGCTTGGATAACTTGGATATGGTCCTGGCCACTCCCCCGCTGCCACGTGGATTATGAGGGTATCTTAATTTGACAGGTGGGATTGGGTTGGGGAAATGGGCTGCTTGTATTTCGACACGTGGACTGGGAATGATTTTGGTTCAGGACATCAAACAGTCACAACTGTGAATTTTGCTTTCCTGAGCTCTCATGCTGATTGTGTCACTATCAATAGTCTCTCTCCATGTTCTCTCACCTGCCATATGAAATTCTTGAATTACTCTTTCTTCAGGAGACATCTACTCAAAAAATGAAATTGAGGAACTGGGTCTGAATCATAAAATGTTTTGGGTACAAAGTTCCTGTAAGATCAAAATCAAAAGCAGAGGGAACCAAGAATGTCTACAAATCCATGTTAGGCAGAGAAATGACTTGGGAAACTGTAGGTCCACAAAAGTTTAATGTTATAATCTTTAAACTATCATCCAAAAAAACAAGCATCCTGTTTAGCAGAACTTTCATACATGCCGGCGCAAGTTTTTAAACTGTTGAAGAAGACGCCAGTGTGCAAACCCACAGTAAGCATCACCAAGGGGATTAATCATGCTCAATTAGCAGCAGCTCAAAGATTGAAGAGATGATGAAGATATCTAGTAATGACTGAGCCAATCACAAACAAGAAACAAGACCTATCTTTCTGTTCTTTCCATCTTTCTCTTTAGGAATCCAAACTTGGAGCTGGGTTAGGTCGGCTTCAACAAAGAATGAATTGGGCTATCTGATCGATGCAGAAGCAGGCCACTTAACTGATGGGCCTAGCCATGGTCTATAATCAAAACACTTGGGTCTTTGCCCAATGCCTTTTGCCATCATCACCATCATCTTGTAAGATGAGAAATATGAAATCCAGATTACTGTATAGCTGCAATCCAGAGTGAATTATATTTCCTGGGTACTCTATCATGGTCTGGCCCAGCCTCAACTCTTCATCAAGATGCTCCTTTCAAGTGATTTACAAGATCTCAAAGCATTAAAACAGTCTGTAATGACATCTATATTAAGACCCATCTTTCTACAAAATTGACACACAACATTATATACCTGATTATCAGTAGGCCTTAAAAAAGTAAATGACATAACGCCTAAAAAAAATTCTAGCGCAAAACTTATACAAAAATTCTGTGAATCTATTTAATTATACCTAAAATCATGTCTACTTGACCAAATTGGACACAATCATTGATGATGTAAACCTTACTTGTGGGATCCACAGTGAGCTCATACAAGGAAATTGCCTTGGGAAGAGGGAAATGGGGTACTAATTTCCAATCATTTTTTATAAGAATGTTGAATGTTTCTCCTTCTAAGATGCATTTTTCAATTAGGAAAGTGGAGATGGACCAATGCCATGACAATAACAGCAGCTGCAGAAAATGGCCGCTGGAGAACAGCTGTGGCTTCATTGGATGAACTTAATTGTATTTAAATGGCTGATGGTAGCTAATACTTACACGTATCCATAAAATAATAAAAATGATAAATACTTTTTGACACTCTTTGCTTGCATAAACTGGGGCAAAATTGCTTAAATTGTCGACAGAGAACTGAAAATATGCTGAGATAATAAACAGATAATTTGATTTTTCACTGAACTAAATTTAACATTTTCTCTTTTCATACATTATACACACACACACACACACACACACACACACACACACACACACACACACACATATATATATATATATATATATATATATGTATAGATTAACATGAGGATTACTACATAATTTGTGTCCACACGATCCATTTCTCAACCTTATGGTACGAAAACTAATCTCGAACCTCAAAAACAAGGCTCAAAGCACACATTAATCAAATTCCGTCATCACCTCTAAAAAGAGTTCACACACGATTCGAGACACGCCCTAACAAAACCTATCAAGAATCGAACGACATCCTTACATTTTAACTAAAGAAAAAGCAAACATATAAGCGTGAAATCAATAATTCCAATAAAGTCAAATGATCGGTTTATCAAAAATTAAATTTGAAAGGTGATGTAATGGGTTTCTACCGAAATGCTTGGATATGATTTTATTTATCATTTAGATGTATCCACTTTATAGCATGACAAATCAGTTTGCAAAATTACGTTTATGATCTAAGTAAATAGTTTCATTAAGCCATCATTACGCAATAAGGATGAGCAGTTTGAGATTCTGAATAGGTTCCATGTAGAAGCTGGAACCTATTATCGGAATAGGTTCCTCATTTTTTGGAACTCGGAACCTACTATGCATATTCTAAAACATGGAACCTATCTTGTCAAAGGTTCCAGGATTTATCTAGGTTTCTACTTGTATTATTAATGGAATGATTGTAATGAATCATTACCTTTAATGACCACTACTTGCTGCTACAATTTGCTGACCACAACTTATATTTAGACACACGAAGAATATGAAATATTAACAAAGTATAAGTCTCAGTCATAAAATGGAAGTTCATATTAGTGGTTACAAATTATACACTCATCATCGAACGCCGTGAAATACAACAAGATCATGCGAAGACATACCAAGAAAGACACAAAAACTTGTTTCATGTTCCACTTACCCAAAATCTAGAACCCACCCGTCAAAACAAGTTTCCCAATTTTTAGAACTTGAAATCTATCTAGCATACCCTATAACCTAAAACTAAATAGGTTTCTATCGATACCCGAAATTGAACAGGTTCCTATCGATTTGGTTCTCTGTCTATTCTGAAACTATGGTCACTCCCGTTACTCAAGACAGATTGAAGGATTGACGAGCAAGTGGGCCGTTGGGGCCCACCAAAGAAGATGAAGTGGGCCATGGTCCTGAGAAGGGACAATAAGGCGGGCGCCCCAAGGATGGTGCTGGGAATCAAAATTCCTTCCCAATTCCTAATGCATATCCAGAAGTGGGTCCCCCTCCTTCCCTTCCTCTCTCCAATTAGAACTAAGAAAAAAGGCATGAGCTCTTGCTTAAAATAAGATGAAATCTCAGGGAAGAAGACATATGATCTCTTGAAGGAGGCAGGAGAAGAAAATCAGAACTAGCAAAGAATGGAAGGGCAAGAGCAGCAGAACAAGTCCCGGGTCGTGAAAGTCGAGTCGCCCGAGTCGTGGGATTCCTACTTGGCTCCGGCCAACGCTCAAGCCTGCCCTGTATAGTGTTTTTTCTTCTTCTTTTTTTCTGCGTCTTCTCGTGCTGTTGGGTCTTCTCTGTCGTAATTCAGAAACATTTCGACTTGGGTGTTGTCAAAGTTCCGAGCTTTTTGCCTCCTGATGACTGCTACTTGCTCCAATCCCTGTTTCATTCCTTGATTTGCGTATTGAGTTTTAGTTTAATGGATTTGACATTGAAACTTTATTTGGGCGGTGAATTTCGATGAAGTTGTGTGGTTGGTCGATGTGATTTTTGTGGGGCTGCGTGATGGGTGTTGATACAGGTGGTGGTGCACTTCACTGCTGCTTGGTGCATGCCTTCGGTGGCCATGAACCCGTTCTTTGAGGAGCTGGCCTCGACGTTCCCAGATGTTCTGTTCCTCACGGTTGATGTTGACGATGTTAAGGTAACACTTAACTTTTTCTCTCAGAGTAATTGTGCAGGAGAATTTGAGTTTTAGCTCGTTACAATAGAATGGAATCCATCATTGGCTATATCCAAAGTGTAGACTTGGGATATCATTGACATCATCAGGTGTTTGTACTATTTTCTTCTTGTACATAAGTACGTGACATAGTATTTATAGGGAAGTGTAGTGTATGAGATTTTTTTCTTGTCTAGCAAGATTAGAATTTGTTTTGTTTTAACTAAGGGATGGGATTATGGTTTTCATTCAAGCAACAAGCGTTTTCTCCGACCTCTTGGAGAGTTTTTTCCCATTTGATAACTCTATGCTTTCTGCTGCAACTTAAATCTGGATGTTTGCTGTAGTATTAGAACAACTCCATTGTGAAAAATTTGGGAGTTCATTCTTGATCTGCGGTGAAACTGTTTCAGATTCTTTGGAAAGCAATTAAAACATTCAACCCGGGATGCATAGTTGCTGAAATTTCTCGCAGGCGTGTTTCTTTTTTCCCATTTATGATTTAGAACGTCTGATGTCTGGTTTGTGACTGTTCAAAGTAGCTAAGGCTTTTGAAATTGGCATGCCGGGCTTTATAAGCTCACGTTCCAACAATCACATGTCTCTTCTGATATGTAATTGAGGGGAAAAAAGATAAAGGGTACTTATGCATCGCAAAGTTTGTCTTCTTGATCATCGACGAATGAAGAGCAGATAAGGCTTTTAGGCATAGCAAGTCTGTGATGCTTTTGAAAAATCTTGTCACTTTTTCTTTGGCTAATCAATATGTATTTACCGAGCCTTTGCCTGTGAGGAGACATCAATTTTTTGAGGTTTGCTTTCCGTAGGAGGTGGCGACTAGAATGGAGGTAAAAGCCATGCCGACATTTTTACTGATGAAGGACGGAACTCCAGTCGACAAGCTAGTGGGTGCAAATCCGGAAGAGATAAGGAAAAGGATAGATGGTTTCGTGCAGTCCTTTCGCACAAGCGTTGCCTAGTAACAGCTTCTCGCCCTGACAGGGCGGACACCGTGCATTTTGGTCTTTGTAAGATTTGTGGTCTGAGTGCCGTGGTGTTAATATTTACGAGCTTGCTGTTTGTAAATTCGACTTGTGGTATCATCGATCTTGTAAGTGTCAAATGTTTTAATGGTGGGTTGCCACAAGTTCAATGATCTTCTACCTTCGTCTTTGGAATTTCATCGACAGCGTTCGTCATGTGCCGATCTCTACTCATCCCTTGTGAAGCCGTGTGATTATTACAGAACAGGGTAAATATACGAACTCCGTCTGCATATTTACTCAATACTTTCCGGAGAATGTCGTGCATATCGCCCTTCACAATGGATTGATCTTTCAACTGCAAATGAAGTTATTTCTTTGGATGGGAGTGTCGTGTCCATGTCTGTCTCTTGTCATGAGTGAACAAATGCCTAACTCTCCCTATTCCATATTAGTTGTAGGGAAATCGGCCGATTTACCTTTCATGGTGTCCGCGCTTCGCGAAATCTTAAGCGCAAAAGTAGCATCGTCAGCAAGGAGGTTTGAATCCCATATACTTGCCTGAAATGTAGTCCTTTCAGATCTCAACGGCTCTGAACCCGGTGACGAGAACCGTGAACGCGGTGACGAGAACCGTGCTTAGAGCCATCACAATGCTCCCGGAGAACACGATGAGCGAGGCCCTCCCATGTTATCTTATGGCCCTCTGCACCACAATAATTTCCAGAAGCGACGCGACGAAGCAGGCGAGGGAAAATATCAGGGCGATCTGTGTGCTCCATCCCAGATAGGAGATACTGCAGCGCCGACATGGTGGACGAGGAGAAAACCATGAACGAGCAAGTCGCTGCTGTAACCTGCAAGACGAACTGCGGGTTATGGCTAACAGAATTTGAATTAGGCTCAGCCTAACAGATTTGGCATTTCAGAAATGGTACGATCCGTCGTTGGCGTGGCCCATAAAATAGGACACGGACCTGACCAGTTTTCTACGATTCGCCTTGTCTGTGATGCTAGACGTTACGGTACCGTTACCTAGTAATCTCCCAGCTCATGCGAGGAAAAGGTAGAGTCGCAAATAATACGTGACCAAGAAGTTACCTCAGGATTCCGACTCGCAGGAGGAGCGGGCTTATAAGCATTCCACCGCCTATTCCGAAAATTCCGCCCAGAAGTCCAGCTAACAGTGCCATTACCGGAAAAAATAAGGATGTTGGCTGGTCCTTCTCTGCTAGGGCCATCGATGTCCTGTAAAAGAAGAACCACATCGTAATGAGATTCTAGTTCATTCATAATAAGCTAATTTATTACTTCAACTTTGATGGTTCGCATCTCTCTTATGTATGTTACCAACCACCTGCTGGCTTGAAGCTTGATGTTGAATGCTTTCTTTCCTGAAAAGAGTCCACGCAGTAAAGGCCACAGCTAGTGGAATCTGAAGGGATGAGAGTATCCAATAATCTGGACCTCAGGGCTCCACTGGGGTATTTGTCTGCACATATCTTCAAAAATCATGCACATTAAAACTGTAGTAAAAAGTTGGAGGAGAAGATAATATTGCAGGGCAGTCATGTGAAGAATCTTTGCAAGGAGTTACTCAGGAACGCAGAGAGGAAAAAAAAAGGGGAAAGGAATGAAAATCTAGCGGGAAGTCAGTGTAATGTAAACTTTTGGCAAGGAATGGTGCAGTGGACCTAAGATGAGTGGTAATCATCATCATAAGCCGGCCATTTCCGGTAAGTGTGATATGAATACAAGACAAGAGAGGCGGTCCATGGGATCGATATAGTGATTTCATGGCAAAATTCGAGATTGTGATGCTTGAGCTTATCTGTTGGTTTCTTCCTAGGTTCGATTTGCTAGCACAAGGCATGTTCCAAGTTGCATTCGCCGAAACCAACTCGAATGGAAATATCGAAGGCCATGTAGTTTAGTTTACTTCCATCAGTTGTGGCTTTAAAATTGACTTAGAGCAAGCTGAAGTCACCCTCCATAAACGTGTACTCCCTCTGAAGGGAGATCTGAAGGGAGAGAGATACATCGAGTTCAATTTTGGAAAGAGTAAAGGTAGAAGTAAAAGCTTTCGATGTAACACTAGGATGAATGATAAAAGACTCGGTTCAGAGAAACAAATTTGCGGTTCTGTAACATGACTAAATGTCCCCTGCATGAGCAACAATGTTTTCTACAGAGTTCTTCTTGCCTCCAAGAAAATATCATTTTCAAGATAAACGTACCAACGTCCCGTTTGTCAATCACTTGGAAGTTCAGTTGAAAGTGACCCACTACATAAGAACAAGGCGAAATGATCTGGCATGATCTGCCTATATATTGAACATGATCTGCAATTGAATAATAAATAATGACAGTGAAGATAACATGGTTAGATCTTTTGGAGTACGGTATACATTCACATAATTCAGTCGCAGGGACATGAAACATCCTTAGCCTTAACTAAGATGATCGAGTTAAAGGAGATCACAGCAAAACAACAACAAAAAATAAGCGTAACAGACGAAACACACCTGTCCGTATCAATTTCCACGAAGAATATGCACCGAGAAGAATGAAAACCAGACCAGAACCAATGCCCCCAATTTCATCCATGGGGACGTTTCTTGACATTTTCGTTCATCACGCAAAACAGGCTCTTTTGAAATTTCGGCTTCCTCTGACCCATCAAAACCCACCTCTCGCAGACCCTTTTTCCAAGTTTACTATCTCCATTCCTTGCTCTGACTCCAGTTTCCAATACGAGACCCCTTTTTTGCAGGTCTTAAGGTTGGACCAAGCAAGAAAGACTGCAAATAGTATGGTGATGAGCCACTCAGGGAAGACAACATTGCATATGAACCCAATACTCACTCCCAACAACAGTCGTGGTTCGGACAGTAGTGCAATGTCATAGTCGATCAAGCACTTGTCACCAAACTTGGGGCTCCTGATAATCAAGTAGCAGATGACATTAGCAATTGACACACCAGTGACCATGAAAGCTGAGAAGCTTGAGGCTGTCTTGAGCTGGAGGCCTGCAATTATAGCAAGAATTGGTATGAAAAGCCCACCTCCACCAATCCCACCAGCGCTTGAAATAGCAGCTGCTATGAAGCACAAGACACCTGCTTGCACCATTGGAGGAGAAAAAAGCTTGAACTTGACATTAATTTCTTGAGATTTCGTCATATGGGTGTGCCTCCATTGATGAGTTTGGTAGGAAAGATCATGACTTTTTGTGATTCTTGAGATGGGTTCCCTTCCTTTAGCATGAGGAAGGCTTAGGATCGTGAAGAAGAAGAAGATGGCTCAGAGTAGGAATTGAGCAGAGTCTCTCTGATTCTTCATATTGAGAGAGCTCGAGGAATGGACAAAAACTGAAACTGCACTCTCCATAGACAAGGTTGAGAAGGATCTTTGGTCATCTGCATGGCATTATTGAGGGACCAAACAGAAAGTTACAAGCACAGCAACAAGGGAAGTAATTATAAAAGAATGTGGAAGTGGTGAGACTACCATGCTTCGTTAATATCATTGAAAAGCTAATCATGCAATTCGTCAATGCTAAAACATGGCTGCTCCTGAGGGATTTTTACTTATGAACTGGTCAGTCTGTGTCCACTACAAGAATTGTGAACTTCTGTTTACTTTCGATGACTTAACAGTCTCAAAGTTAGTCCACAAACTGTTCAAGAGATAGAGAGATTTTTATCTTTTTTTCAGTATTTAACAAATGAAGAGGTTGTGGAGGCCGCAATTATGACTCTTTGAACCAGGGCGGCTGTTCCTGAGAGACTCGGTTGAAGCTTCCGTTATGGCTAGAGAGAGAGAGAGAGAGAGAGAGAGAGACTTAGATGGATTTGGAGAGAAAAGAAGGTAGGAAACGAGAAGGTTTTTCTGTTGTCAAACTCTAGTAATTCTCTGACCAAAAAAAACTCTAGTAATTCTACCACTAGAGTGAGCATGGTCCCAGGGGGTCCTGTTCCAAAGCAGGAATCAGAAACCGAATCAAGGATTTGATGCTAGAAAATCTAGATTTGGGAACCGAATTGGTCCACCTGAGAGCTAACTTGGAACCGAAGCGGTCGGCTAGTAGAACTAGAAACTTGTCCTCCATTTTTTTTTTTTAAGTTTCAGTTGTTAATAGCCCCTGGTACACTTGAGGGTGTAGATTCAGTTTCGAGAATTTCCAATACCAAATAGATTTCCTCTATTGGAATGTGGCTTTCAGACTTCAATGACGACGTAACATCGACTAGGTTAAGGTCTCAACAATTGATGAAGATACACGCACCTATGATGCAGGCTAGAAGTCAAATGACCACATGGCTCTTCGCATAATCTTTGATATTAAACATAGTTCATGTTGAGTTTGCTCGAAAAATTTTGAACTTTGAAACTTTTACCGACACGAGAAACGGAAAAGTAAAATCGATTACCTGACAAGCTATGTATATTTGATATTTTTATCCTATTATACGCCTTCGATGTCTTATAAAAAAGGAACCCAATCTTTACGAGCTTCTAGTTCATTCATATTAAGCTAATTTATTACAATAACAATTATATATAACCAAACACCTGCTGACTTGAAACTTGATGTTGAATGCTTTTTTTCCTGATAAGAGTCCACGAAGTAAAGGCCACAGCTAGAGGAATCTGAACGGATGAGAGTATTCAATCTGTAGTAAAATGTGGAGGAAAAGATAATATTGCAGGACAGTCATCTGAAGAATCTTTGCAAGGATTTACACGGGAACACGGAAAAATAAACAGAAAAGAAAAGAAAATCGAGCAGGAAGTTAGTGTAATGTAAAACTTCAAGCAAGAAATGGTGCAGTGGATCTAAGATGAGTGGTTTCATCATCATAAGCCGGCCATTTCCGGCAAGTATTATATGAACGCAAGACAAGAGAGGCGGTCCATGGGATCGATATAGTGATTTCACGGTAAAATTAGAGATCGTGATACTTGAGCTTATTTGTTGGTTTCTTCCTAGGTTTGATTTGCCAGCATAAAGCATATTCCAAGTTGCATTCACTGAAACCAACTCAAGCCGAATATTGAAGTCTATGTTTTTAGTATACTTCCATCAGTTTCGGCTTTAAAAACCGATCAAGAGCAAGCTAAACAGTAGAGGTGTCAAAATGGGTCTTAAACCCATATATGACCCATTTAAAAATAAATGGGTCATATA